TTAATTTTATATAAAAAGTAAATCTAGCCAAGTATTTTTTTAAAAATACCTTATATTAATACTAAAAGTATCACTAATCATTATACTTTTATATTGATTACGATAGGAATACGATGATACAATGCACCGTTCAAAACATATGTCCAAGCAATTATTGATGAAAAAGATATTGATTGTATTAAATAAGGTAAGCTATATTCAGTACTCATAATGAAATATATTAAATAAGGGTATTTTAGACAAGAAGTTAAAAGTTAGATATATTCTTCAATTGGAAGTCATATTATAATTTGGGACGAATGAAAAGAAAAACAAGACATTCAAAATAGGACAGAAGGAGTAATTCGCAATAATGTATCTTGACACTTACTAATAATTATGGAGACCTCCTTTATAACGTCTAATAATACTCAACCTTTCTCACGCGTTAATAACGCTACTAGTATTAAGAACTATTCTGACTACTAAACAGATTTTTGAATAATTTTGCAAAGACTTTTCTAGAGGCTAATAAAAGAAAGATAATTGCAAGTAGAAAATTTTTACTAAAAGTTCAACCTCACAAGCAACACCAAACAGGATTTACGTTAACATTTATTATTGCTGATGGGCATGTAGAAAGATTGATTTTTTCTCACAAACAAGGAAAAATCGTCCAAAACGTCCCTCATATTTTATAAAATGACTTTTTTCGTCCCTCACTTTTAAAAGTGTAATTTTATGTCCCTTACATATTCACATCGGTCAAATTTAGTCCCTAACTAGGTTTTCGATCATTTTTTGGCCGGAATCCATCACGTGCAAGGCACGTGATCATTTTTTAAGGGTAAATTTGTCAAATTATATTTTACATAATCTAATCTATAGTCCTCCATATTTTATAAAACAAATTTTTCGTCCCTCACATTTCATAAAATGGTTTTTTCATCCCTCACATTACACAAAATGAATTTCTCCATCCCTCAAATTTCAAAAAATGAATATTTCCATCCCTTACTAATTATGTGTGTAAGGGAAACCCTAAAAAAAAAAATATGTGTGTGAATACATTTTTATTTAAACACATGTATATATCTATTTGATTTTGCTTAATAATACGAATAGCATAAATATATGTATGTGTCTATTTGATTTCACTTAACAATATGAATACCATATATTATACGTGATCATTTGATTTTATCCGGTATTAGCTAGTAACAAATCTTGCATTCATTGTCAAGTTGGCCAATAAAGCTATTTTCGGTCAAAATACAATAAGAATATGCAAATTAAGGTTCTATTGGTAAATATTAGTCATAATCATACAAAAAGAGAAGATAGCTCACAAGTTTGGCCCAATTACATACATGTGTTTATGCTATTATTATTAAGCAAAATCAAATAGACATATACACGTGTTTAAAAAAAATGTATTCACACACATAATTAGTGAGAAATGAAAAATTCATTTTTTGAAATGTGAGGGATAGAGAAATTCATTTTGTGAAATGTGAGGGATGAAAAAAAATTATTTTATAAAATGTGAGGGACGAAAAAATTTATTTTATAAAATGTGGAGGACTATAGATCAAATTATGTAAAATATAATTTGACAAATTCACCCTTAAAAAATGATCACGTGCCTTGCACATGATGGATTCCGGCCAAAAAATAATCGAAAACCTAGTTAAGGACTAAATTTGACCGATGTAAATATGTAAGGGACATAAAATTACACTTTTAAAAGTGAGAGACGAAAAAAGTTATTTTACAAAATGTAAGGGACGTTTTGGACGATTTTCCCGCGAACAAATATGAAAGAATACGGGATCATAACTTCAATAGATTCTTTCTTGCAAGTAAACTCATGGGAAATGCCGAGAATGAGGTCATTATTGGCATTCCAGATTGAAGTTGTTCTTGTCAAAGTTTTTAAGAGCTTTCAAAGTCATTAGTCATGTTACCGAAGGGAAATGTCGTGATAATTTCTTTTCCTGAGATTGCAAGAAACGACCCCATTATCTTTTCTTGCGTGTTGTGGTCTGCAATTAACCAAGTGGTGCATGTTGCAGAGTGCAGACCTAAGAATAAGTAGTAGTATTCCTGCTGTCCTGCGTTGTTTTAATCGCATGTTCCAACACACATGAAGCAGCGTGATTATGACTAGTTACCAAAGAATTTGACATGGTAAGCCACGCTTGATACATACTTAATTTCAAGATATTATAAGTGTTCGTTCTCTGCCATGCATACGAGATTATGACTCAAAAACTACGTATTACATTAAAAGTCTCTATGTGGATATATAATTACAATATCTTGGAGTCACCCCTTATTATAGAAGTGAATCAGCTACAAGTAATTGACATGAAGACAAAAAAGTGAAAAACAAAAAATGTGGGCACACTGTATCTTGCCAATTTTACGAGTAATTAAAAGTGACGAGAAAATATCCCTCAACCCCTCATCTTTTCCAACTTCTCTCTACCGCTCATTTTCTCTGAATCTCTTCCTCTTCGGGAGGGAGGCCACAATAGGTTTCATTTTTATTATTTTCCAAATAAAGTCTCTCCTAAAGTTTTGTAGTGGAAGATCTCTGTTTCTCCTGAGGAGTTCCTAGTGAGATTTTGTGTTATTTTTCCTTGTTTTGCTGTTTCAATTTGAATTTTACTTCAGATCTGAATTTCATTTCAGATTTGAGTCTATGTCGGTAGATCTCGTCATCTTTATTGGAGTTTAAAACTGTTAATTAATAGATTGGACAATTGCAACGTGCACAGCGTGGGCTATAGTGATTTATTCTATGAGGAGATGATTTTAGATCGATGGTACTTTTTAGATCTGTTCTTAATTTTTTTGGTCTTTTGTACGTGCTAAATTACAGATCTACAATTTTAGTGCGTATTTTATCTGTCATTAGGACAGCTATGTATATCAATTGTGCTGAACGATTTCCAACAATCAATTAATGAAATATATTTTGTTATAAAACCAAGTGACAGAGAAAATTAAAAGGTTTCCATCTATGATACTAACCTGAAGTACACTACTATGTTCGCAAGAATCATCGGTAGGGATGACAAAAGGCGAATCCAATATTAAAAGCATGGCATCCATCCCTGATTCCTCCAGCAGATATTATCTGTAAACTTCTATTTCGGCTGGCTTGGAATGATTCCACCATTTTTTTTTTATGCGATTCAATGTATTCCCGTGGCATTAGACAGCAGAATGAGAGGAGGATACTTCTGCACATTGCATGAACTAGTAGCTAATTTGGAATCAAATTCAAATTGGTCCAGAAACAACAAAATTCCTAGAATTTCCAGAATAAAATACCTCGATCCTTCATTGCTGCAATTGTTAAGGATAACCTACCTTTTTGGCTGCACTTTTTTTTTTGGGGGTACGAAAAAAATTTAGGTGGATTGGATAGGAAAAATTTTGGCTGCACCATTGTGCTAAAATAGTCTTGGTATACTTTTACTGTACATTGTATATGGTATTTATGCTAAACCATTTCGTACTTAAAAAAACCTACTAGGTTTGGCATGAAATAACGAGAAAATTCTTACCAAAAAGAAAAAAAAAAAACGTAATAACAAGAACATATTGAAACGTAATCCACTCATTTCAAAAGAGTTTGGCCAATTCATTTTCTAAATGTACAAAATACCCTCTTTTTAATTTTCTTTTGCCATGAAAAGGCAGCCGCTGCTGTCTTCCTTCAGTACATAGATAATTTCAAGGGACCCCTCTTACAAAATCCCTACATCCAAAAACGGGAAAAAAAAAAAGGAAGAAAAACATGAACTAATCCAAAATGAAATTTTTTTCTTTTTTCTTTCTTTTCTTTTGGATAACGCTAGTGTGTTTGGATAGAATATTATTTGAAATAATTATTATAATACTTTTTATAATATAATATATATAAAATAAAAAAATAATTAAAAATATAAAAAATATATTTATAATACAAACTATATATATTTATTATTTTGTAAATTTGAGCCATCCAAATTTGCACTCTCCACCAACAGTCATGCAAAGGCACCAAGATTGCCTCTACTTCAATAGCTTGATGCTGGGATGGCAGAAGATTCCACATGTCCACCTTCTATTCATAAATGCAATAAAAAATCAAAGATTGGGCGTTGCATAAGAGTTATTGATGCGAGTGATAGCACAATAGGATACCGCCAGAAAACGCCGGTCTTCGTCCTCGCGAAAGTGACACTGTCCACCCTTCTTTGTGCAATGCGTCCATCTGTATGAACCCGCGTTCTCCAGCCGGTTTTTCAAATTGACAAAAATATCCTCGCAGTGTTAAAGCTTGGAGATTCTATGCTTAGTAAAGAAAAAAAATAGACAATTTAGGAGTTTTCTTTCTTTCTTTTTTTAAAAAAAGTACTGATGTATATGAACAAAAAATAATTAAAAAATATATTTACAATAAACATAAAATTTTTTCTGCAAAAAATCATAATTCAAACAAGATTAACTTATTATGACTGTCATCGTATTTTTATTCTTTTGTAAATAGAGAACTTGGCCGGTTAATAAGTCTTCTTCTTCTTTTATTTTTAAATTCCTCTTTTGCTCTATATTATTATTATTATATTTTTTTACGAAGCACAAATCATTCTAATAATATTCAAAAGGTAATTGATGATTTTTATGCTTATTAAAAACGATTTACCGTCACCATAACATCCATAAGTTTCTTTTTTTAAGTAATCTGGCTATATAACCTTTTCCTTTTTGTGTTAAAAGAGGGTAGCTTACTTGTGGTACTTCAACTCCTTTAGAGTTTATTCTATTCTCTTTTGATGAGGATGGGGAAGCAGAAAAGAAAGAAAGAAAGAAGGCCACGATTGAGAGGAAAAATAAATTCACAATGAGCTTTGACCACTAATTAATTATGGGAAAAAAAAATTAGACCCTTCATCTCTAACTTCTTACTATATCCTTCTTTGTCTTTTCATTGCCTCGACTCCTAAAGTAAAGATCCAAAACCTCCAAACCAAACATTTATGTGCTACTACTGGAAACCAGAGCAAAATCGTCAAATAAAGCTTAACAAGAATTGACCAGACGCTGCAGCAATAGTTTTGGTTCCCAATGCTTTAATAGCTAGCTGTTGGAGAATTCCCCCAGTCCCCGCTTTGTTGTCCATGTTCGTCTTTTTCTACTTGTCTCTCTTCCCTCCCCCAGATTCACCTCATTTTTCTCCTCCTCCTCCGCCTTTCCTTTTCTTCAAACTCTCTCTCGTCGATTCTCTACGCTCCCCAAAACAGTACAAAAAACCGTTCTCCAATCTCACTCCCACTCCCACCAACCCATTCATTTCTTCCTCTTCAAAGTTCAACCAATCAGTGAAATAACTCGATGTTTTTTTGATCAAAATAATCAAATCTCAGGTCCAAAAAGTAGCCTTTCTTTGCTTCAATGCTTGGTCTCTTCTGATGCTAGCCCACGAGTCTTCCTTGAAGGTACGTTGTTTTTTACACTTATCATCCCCCGTAAACTTCCATTAAAGCCCGTATCTTTTCGCTCCTTTATTGCTCTCTCTGCATTCCTTAGCTGGATGTATTAATTCTGTAACCGCCATTTAGTCATTTAATTCCAGAAAATGACAAAAAGGTCAGTTTTTCTTTTTGTTTTTTTTTTGGGTCTGTGCAGGTCCCAAATTTAGCTTCTTTTCTTGATTGTCTTTCTGTTCAGGCACTACTAGTCTTTCTTTTATACGTCCTTCTATGAGTTTCATTCAAGTATTAAGCTAAGCTTGTTTATCGGGTTCGTATAGGGAGTAATCAGAAGGCGATTATTGTGTTTTCTGGATTCTTGAGACCTCGGAAGATGAGATTTAGCCTGGGATGAAGAGGAAGTGAAGGTTTCCGGTGCTGACCACTAAAATATTCATCAAGGTGTGTTTTTCTGAAGGCCCAATAAAAAAAATATTTTTTTTTGGGGCTCTGATTATTTCTACTCAAATGTTAAGTTTGTCTGAACGCGTCTGTAGATATTCGTAAACTTTGTGCTCAATGCTCTGCACGAGTCTTTGTCTTAATTTGTATAGTTAACTTAACTCTTCCCTGTTAACGACCCCACCGTCACTAAGAGTGGAGTTTAGGGGGTCACGTGTTTTGCACGTGAGCGAGCTTTATGGTTCTCAATCCCCCCCCCCTCCCGGGCCTTATTGTGGGGTCCACAGCGTCCAGGCGAAATTGTCCTTGCGGGATTTTTTTTCTTATAATGTTTTTCTCCCGTTGATTATTATTACCAGTAACTTTTTTCCGGTTGGCTCAAATCTTGAGAAAAGGTAAAGGTTGGGGGGATCTTCAGGGCCGTTGGATGGTGAAGTGAATTTAGTGACAAAAGATTTGCTGCAGTGAAATGATAAATGGGAAGGGCCCACGTGATCTTCTTGCAGCAGCAGCAGTAGGAGGAGGAGGAGTAGGGTGACGTGTGAGAGATGAGGGTAACAGGTCAGATTTCGTTTGTGGATGGGTGTTGACACCTGTACGTGACTAATGCTGAGTAGGATTTCTTCACCTTTTTATGGGTTAAATAAAATAAAAAGTTATTGGACCCAATGCCATCGAATGGTCAGTAAAGTGTGTTTCTTTGGCTTTGTTTGTACACCCCTTTTCTAGTCTTGCAAACCATTGCAAAGTGTGTTTGTTACTGTTTAAGTAGCATGGTGCTGTTATCGTATGCATCGTGGTGGCAGCTTTTTAATCTGCAATAATGAAATCAAGAAAGTTATAGTAGTAAGTTGATGCATTGGCTTTTCCATGAAATCTTTTTTTTTTTTTTGGGGGGGGGGGGGGGGGGGTTGTAAATTTCTGCTTGCTGCTTTTATCAGTTAAATGGGCACTAAGCTTAATTTAAGTTGATAAGCCTTAAGTAATTTACTGCTAAAAAGATCAAGGCGGATACTTCAGGCAAGTTGCACTGTTATGGATTATACGTTGTTGTAACTACATACAGATTTCTTAGTTGTTAGGCAACTGCAGTCCAAACCTGGTATTAACTTCCCCTAGTCATGATTCTGAGTGGGGGTTGGGGGAGGGGGATGGGGAGAAGGAAAGTTCAGTCTTCAAAATGTCTTTATATGGCAAGATTTTAGCTGGCTGAAGCAGGGAAAACTAATTCTCCCTGGATGTGTTAGGTAGGTTGAAGACTGAAGATATTCTTTATGCAGAATAGGAACCTAAAGTACTATAAGTATCTCGTCAAAGCTTGCTGTGTTATAAAATATTTGGCAACTGATTCTCGTTGCTGAGTTTCAACCTTTTGCAGCAAGGTGTCTTTTTGTGGTGTGTTGATGTGGGGGGGGGGGGATGGATGATCTTTTTTAATCACGTAATTATGTTCAACGGTTATATGTAATACTTTTCTGATATTAGCATTTTTTTTCAGTTTGTTGAATGTATTTTGATTCTCAATGTTCTCTTCTTTGTAAGGCTCTTTATTCTTTGGCTGTTTCTGCAGCAATATACCTTGATGGGGCATCTCACCAGACCCCTGCAGCTTAGGAATTATAAAAAAGTTTGAACTCTGAGCCGTTGGATGCTTCCTTTAAGCGCGTTTCAGAATATTAGTTTATTCACCTTATTGTGATTCCTCTGCTGCTACTGTTCGTACTTTTTTTACCCCACCTTTAGATCCACTTTTTGATTATGTCGAAAGAATGAAAATCAGAAGCACTCAAATGCAAAACAAAAAGAAATTCCTTGTTCTTTAAAGGTCTCGGTTCAAGAGCTAAAGCTCGATGCTTTTTTCCTTTGTTGAAACAAGCTCATCATTGTTACACTAGTTATCATCGTGATCATATTCTTATTCTCCCTTTATCTGTATATATAAATCTTGACATGGTTGCCTGAACTCTTCATTTACATAATAGCATATCTTTGTATCATTGTCATTATAATTTGCAACTCTTTTCCAGATGGATTCGGTGGACAGGTCTGCAGTTACCCCAAATAAGAGCAAGAGTAGATTGGCGCGCACGTTTGCTAAGGTTTTGCACATTCGAGCAGTAACTGGGATAGCTCCAGATGATGGAATCCAGAAGATTAATTCCCCTGAAAATGTTAAGAGTAATTTGGTAAAGAACAAAAGCCATTTGCAGCCATTTGATGATGAGGATGAGAAGCTATGCAGTAGAGCGGCTACAGAGGCATTTGTAGCCAAGCTTTTTGCCAGTGTCTCATCTGTTAAAGCAGCGTACGCCCAGCTTCAATATGCTCAGTCTCCTTACGATCCTGATGGAATTCAGACAGCAGATGAGATGGTGGTATCAGAGTTGAAGAATGTGTCAGAACTGAAGCAATGTTACTTGAAGAAGCAAATCGATGAATCTTCCCCTGAAACCACTCAGATCTTGGCCGAAATTCAGGAGCAGAAGAGCTTGCTGAAAACATACGAAATAATGGGAAAGAAACTAGATTCGCAGCTCAAACTGAAGGACTCCGAGCTCACATTTCTCAGAGAGAAACTGGAGGAAGCCAATAAAGAGAACAAGTTGCTAGAGAAGAGATTGAATTCAAGCGGGCAGTTATCATCAGCTCTTGATAACGTTCACTTGTCAAGCTTAAGCCCCAGTCACTTTATTACATTTGTTCGGCAGACAATTAAGTCTATTCGGAGCTTTGTTCGGTTGCTCATCAGTGAGATGGAATCTGCAGAGTGGGATCTAGATGCTGCTGCCAGTTCAATTGAGCCTGGCGTTGCCTTTTGGAAAAACAGCCATAAATGCTATGCATTCGAGTCATTTGTCTGCCGAGAAATGTTTGATGGTTTCAATCAGCCCGACTACTCAATTTCAAAGGAATCTTTGCCTGAGCAGAAGAAACGGCGACGGGTATTCTTTGAAGGATTCAGGGAATTGAAGTCTGTGAAACCAATGGATTACCTAGCTTGGAAGCCTAAATCCGCATTTGCAAAGTTCTGTCGCGCTAAATACTTGACACTGATTCATCCCAAGATGGAAACATCTCTTTTCGGCAATTTGGACCAGAGAAATTTAGCGAATGCAGGGGAATACCCAGAGACAACGTTTTTTGCTGCGTTTGCAGAGATGGCGAAGCGCATTTGGCTACTACATTGCCTTGCCTTATCTTTCAAACCGGAAGCCTCAATCTTTCAAGTGAACAAGAGGAGTAGATTCTCAGAAGTTTACATGGAAAGCGTGAGCGAGGAAGCATTCCTGTCATCTGATGGTTCGCCGGAATCCGAGCCTCGGGTGGCTTTTACCGTATTTCCAGGGTTTAGGATAGGCAAAACTGCTGTTCAGTGTCAGGTTTATCTTTGCTAGTAGATATGCATGGATGGGGATCAAGGCATTTACGCGCCATCTTGGTCGACCCCATTAGCGTCAAAAGCCTGATCTGGAGGCCACCGGCTTCAATATTTTTTATTTTGCACTGTTAGATTTTGTAGATTTGACAGGGCCATGGCTGGTTATGGGTTCTTTTTGTCCCCCCCTTTAATCTGGAAAGGAAAGCGCGTTGACTGTTTGGTATGGGACCAAAGTTGGTGAATCTTCGCTCTGTTTTGGTAATATAATACTATGATATATGTTCCTAAGCTTGCTCATGTCAAGAATTAGCTGTATGCTATTATATTATAGTATTCCTCTACTTAGGACTCTGTCTGCTTTATTTGTCGGTACAATGAATTGGCCAAAGGACCGGACAATCAGAGAAACTCCAATTTACCCGACAATTGACAATCATCCTATTTGACCAACAAATTAGTGATACGCCAATTAAATTCCTGAGCGAGCTTGGCTCAAGTTTTCAACGGATTCTTCTTCTTGCTCCCCAGTCCACGGCCAGCGGTGAATTACTGGATTTTTCTTACGGGTTATGGGGTGCCCAATCTGTTTATTCTCAGCCCGTTTCAAGTTGTGATTCCCACGAGACACCCCCAATGGGGGAAAAAGGGAAAAGAAAGAAAGGCCCATCCAACTTTACTCGATTAACAGATTACCTTTTAGATTGGGTTAAAATTATGTTATAAGTGATAATCCTAATTCAAATATCTTTGAGGTCATGCCCTTGAAGGATTTGACTACCAAATTGAAGGATTTCAAATTCAACCAAAAAAAGACCTCAACGAAATGGTTTATAGAATCATATGCATTGAATCCGCGAAAGCCTCAATTTCTTTTCTCATACACCAGTATAACATTGGCCATGGTTTAAGAAGCATTTAAGGAGCTAAAGAAAGCATTTGCCTCGGAATTCATGCTTATAATGCAAAATACTGAAATAGCACTTATCAGTAATGCGTCTCTTTTTTGGTTGGTTTTCTCAAATGAAAACTAGTACGTGTAGCATTTTTCTGAAGCATATTAGAGCAAAGAAGATCTTTGATTTGTGGGTTCGGTTTTTTAGAACACAATCAAGAATGAGTAATACGTCTAAAGACGTAGATATAAAATTTTACGTATAAAATCTAATGAGTAATACGTATAAAATTCCTTTTCTACATATGTTTCTTCGAAATTTTTTAGTTCAAGAATGAAAAAATTGCATCTTGTACAAACATCATTCAAACTCCTCATTTTTTTTTGGAGTTGAGTTTGGAGAACTCTAACTCGAACTTGAACTTGGAGATAATGGTGGGTTGGTTGTTGATGTTGAATCATCACTATTTTCTTTTTCATTTGTTGAATTTTCTTCTTTTTCATGATGCCAAACAAACTGCTTCACAATCTTTTTCACATTCCAATTCCAGACAGCATTTTCATCAAATACAACATCTCGACTATTAATGATTTTTTCGTCTTCAAATTAAACAATCTATAACCTTTAGACTTGGAACTATAACCAACAAAAAAATATTTTTTTACTTATTTTATCAAATTTGTACCTCTTTTCTTTTGAAATTTGAGCATAGCAAATGTTCCCAAAAACCTTCAAGTGTTTCATCAATAGTTTCTTTTCACTCCATGCTTCAATTGGAGTTTAATTCCACATGGCTTTTGTAGGATTTCGATTGAACAAATATACAACTGTATAAATGGTTTCAACCCAAAATTTCTTTGGCAAATCTTTGTCATGGAACATAAATTTTGCCATCTTGTATAGTTGAAAATCTCTTAAATTTTTTTAATTTTAGGACATGAACTAAGTCAGTGAAACTTTAATTCTGACACCAATTTTGTAGGATATTAGCTTTGATACCAATTTTATTGATATGTGGAGGAATATTCCTCAAGATGACTTGTTATCAGATTTCCCCACCTATTCTTTCTTAGGATAGTTTCCAGCTATAACAGGAAGTGCCACGGGCTTCCCTTAGCATATTTTACATATTTTGTTGCAACGATTGCCTGGATATATAAATATAAAAAGAGTTGGATTAGCTCCTTTAATTAATTTATGCAAATATTTTGTTGCAATAATTACGTGGATATATAAATATAGGAATAATTGCAGAAACCTCTCCTGAAATTTTTGACAATTGCACTCACCTCTTCTGAGATTTGAAAAATAGTACTAACCTCCCCTAAATTTAAGATTTTGATAGCAAGTTCAACCCATGTTAGAGAAAATGTTATAAAAAGTCTTTTTGGAAGTGAGATAATACTGTTGTTTCATTTGTACCCTTTTTGCCTCTTGTGAGGTAGTATTAGTAAAATAATGAAAAAATATTAAGAGATAAAAACAATTAGTGAAACTCAGAGGATATATGTGCCAAGAGAACAAGGGCAGTAGTAAAATTTGGAATAAACAACAAACATGTGTTCAGAAATATGAGGTTCTAAAGCATATAAAGAGACTGTTTATCAAGTAAGAAAATTTACGTTTGATCAATACAAGAAAGTTTCTTAATATATCGATCTCATACTATGTACCATAATTCATACACAGTTATATTCTCTCATGATCGACACAACAATTTTATCATATTATAACTAATATCACAACTTTGTATATTAAGTTGAGATGATAAAGGATTGCTTAACTATCATCTTTTAATTGTCACAGATTTTTAATAAAAAAATTCTTAGATTTTGTATTGATTTTTGCTTTCTTTCTCCTTTTGTTTCATGAATGCATAAGATGAAATAAATTTAACCAAAACTACCAAAACTTATTTTTTTATGGAGCCTTATCTGGAGATTTCTTTCTCCTACATTTTCTTGTTTCTGTTTCTCTTCTATGTAGAAAATATATGATTTGCATTGTCCTCTCAAGTGTTGTCAATTACAAAATGGTACCATGATGGAGCATCAAAATGACACCATTTTGTAAGTGCACTTACATTGTCTAATAAAGTAAAAAATAATCATTAATCTTGTTTAACTAGTTATTTTGAACTTGTTTATTGTCTTAATTTTTTTTGCCCCAAATTTATTTACTAACAACCTTAAACTCTTAAGGTATAAATGTAAATTCATCCTATCTTATGTCATCTATAGACCCCAAATTCATATTAGGGGAGGTTAGTGCTTTTTTTCAAATCTCAAGAGAAGTAAGTGCAACTATCAAAAAGGTCAATGGAGGTTTCTGCAATTATCCCATGATTATAAAAAGAGTTGGGTTAGATCATTTAGTTAATTTATATTTCATAGCATCCTATATCATATAAAGAGATGGATCCTGGACACATCCCACAACCAGAATAGAACATTCCAATCTCACAACCAGAATAGAACATTCCAGTTACAGTGATGACAACTGAGGGGCAAGAGATAACGTTTCACTTGAACTTGTTCAACTTTGCTGGAGTTGAATATTTCTTGTTATGGCAGAATGTTTCTTGAACACGAGAGCCTATTGTACTGTGAATGCCACTATGATGTCTACTTACCATTTCATAGCAAATCGTGTCAATATCTCTGGAGAATGCACTGGTGAGATGCATCTAATAAATCAAACCATTGGTAATGCTCAAGAGTCACATGTAATGTACGGAGCCATCATTCGTTGGAGGAATGAGGCTTTTATTTGGTTAATGTTCGAGACAGCTAATTGGTTCATTATGCTTGCTCATGCCAATTATGTTTACATTCAACCTTCTCTTCTAAGTCCTATGCTGCCATATAATATGTCATGTGAAACGAGCAATATGGAGACTCTTCATACTTTTGTTTGATTGTATTTATCTTGCCAATTGAAGCGTAAAACATGTAAGTTAGTGATTGTCACCAGTTTCTATTTAATGATGCACCTACCAACATGACTCATTTTCACTTGAATTTCTGCAACTTCCACAAAATTATTTTTTTTAAAAAAGCAACCAAAAAACCGATACCGTCGCATTACAATGATAAAAATATATTTTTCCGTAATATATCATGATGATATTAAGAAATTAAGATGAAAATCAAATAAGAGAATGCGAATATTGAAGCGTGCACTTGTGTACACCGATGTCTTTTTATTTCAAAGTCTCCATACTACTAGCGTTTGTTTTTCTTTTGCCTTTTGACTAGTGTAAGGCCTTCATTTATATTCTAAAATACTCATAAGACCTTTATTTATATTCTAAAATACTCCATATGGAGCTAAGTACTATATTTTTCAAAAAAATTAAGATTCAATTGAGTACATAGAAAAAGAAAAGTAGAATTGATAAGAAATTAAGAATGGACCAGGAAAGAACTAATAGTGAGTTAAGAAAGTGGGCCAAGAAAGGACGTAGACCGAAAAAAAAACTCCTTTCTTTATTCAGTATTATGCGAGTTTAATGAGTTTCATAGAATATTTAGATTTTTTTGAAAACATTTTATAGCTTTGCTCTAAACCAAAGGTAGGGAAACCTTAAAGAGTTCCTCAATTTATTAGCAAGTTTCAACAAATCATTAAGAGGATCACCTATTCATCGTAGCCAAATTTATTTTTAAAAATGAAGGCTCCAAATGTTTGAGAGTTAAGAGGCATCCAAAATGTATTTAGAAAACTAGGCTCTGAAAATTTAATTAGAAAACTCACAAATCACAATCTTCAGGAATTTTAAGACAAGTTTGGGAGACATCTACATGGACCACACTCTTAACAATTTTCCTATGCCAACTCAATGCTTAGTAGGCTTTTTCCAAGCTTAACATGATCGTTAGGCTTGCCATCGGTGTCTATAGTATATATATATATATATATATCCGTCCCCGTGTGGCTCTAGAACATTGCGATTATCTTCTTGGTCAGTTTGAGGGACAATTGCAGCATGGCAGATTTGACCTTGACGGATTGGAGATATGGGTGCTGGAAGATTACCGAAGATCTGCGTGGATCCTAAAGCATCGTATGAGTTTCACAGAAATTAATCGATTGGCTTAGCTTACGCCTAATGAATCAAACCATTAGTGATGTTCAAGAGTCACATGTAATGTACAGAACCATCATTATTTGGAAAAATGAGGCCTTTATTTGGTCAATGTTTGAGAGAGCTGATTGGTTCATTATTCTTGCTCATACCAATTATGTATACATTCAACCTGCTCCTCAAACTCCTACGCTTCCTGCTCCTGTTACTCCTCCTCTTATAATTCCTATACCTGACCTCTTGTTAGGAGCAGGAGGGGTGATGCCAATCATGTTTACATTCAACCTGCTTATCCAACTCTTGGAGAATTTTAAACCATCATA